TTTTTTTTTTTTTTTTTTTTCCCCTCCTTTTCCCCTTTCGAAATTACGAAACGGAGATCTCACGGTTTACGTCGGTTCACGGGTCAGATGTTACGTTAACGATCTCCCCTTTTCTCCGATGTGCAATGTTTCACCGCTAGCCACGAGGAACGCGCCTTGATAATTGCTCCCCTTCGTCCCCCTTCGATCCCTTTCCGCAGCCACCCAGAGATCGCTGCTTACTTTACGTACGAACCGACTTGGAAATTGGAAGCCGATGGCCGTTGTAATTGGTTGGAAGAATTTGTGCGACGACACGGAATTTCGAGTAGCGATTTCACGAGCACTTTCGTGGTTCTGTTGCTAATGATTATTATTGGCTCTCGAGGGAAAAATTTGTATTTACAGATCGTTATGTAATAATTGGAAAAATAATCTGTGCCTTTATTGAGATAGTAAGGTATGAGAATAAATATACTGTATCATTGGAAAGAGAGATTGGATATATTATTTTTGGTTTCCTTTTTTAATTCTGTCTAAACAAAAATTATTTGCGTACTATTCGTTATATATACCACTATTCTTAATCGAAATCAAAATTATAAAGCTCATGCAAATTTTGTATAAAATTTAGAAATCTATCTAGAATCTAAATTATTTTAAAAAAAGAATGATCAACGAAAAGTGCAAAAAATCTTTAGATTTCTCTGTCATTTCGAAATATTAACTTAACATATCGCGAATAAAATATTATTAACGTCGTCATAACAATATCCACGTGATTAAAAAAAATTTGTGATAAACGACGAAATACATTTGACGAAACGTAAACAAGAAATTTTTAAACAAGAAATTACTCTTTCGTTAAAAAAAATACACACACAAACGTATCCAAAACGTAGCCAATTTAACATCAATTTAAACCTGTCGTCGATACGACCAAATCCCTCATTCTCGAAACAGACTTTTAAGTTCCCAACATCTTCCCTCCCCTCTCCCTCCTAATAATAATTATCGCGCTTAACGAAGGGCGCAGAAGGCGGAAGCCCAGCAAAATACCCGGAATGAAGTTGTCGGACGCGCGAAATGACGCGACGTTGATTTATGGAGAGAAGAACGAGGCTTCCACGCGGACCACTGCCTCTCTTCCCGTGGAGCTCGTAAATCCTGGCCGACAACCAGGATTCCCTGCGGCCAGGTCCGTGCCCAAGGCGAGTTTCTGGTCCCCCGCCGGAAATAGGGAGTCGAAATCGTTGGAACGAGCCGGAGTAACCGGAAATTCTGCGGCCGCGTGACTTTGGAGAATTTACAACGATTTTTCTAACCTATCATCGTCGATCGTGCTCCTTGTTTTTTTTATCTTGTGAGTTTCTTCAAATTTTATTTTATTTTTCTTTTTTTTGTGTATGTTATCTTTAACAAGTTAAGAGAACTTGGTTCAAGTTTAAATGAAAATTTGTTTGATCCAGAGTGGTGACGTTAATCGTATTTGTTTTTTTTAACTTGCGTTCGTTTTTTAGAATTTAATCGAAATTGGTTAAATTCAATCCTCTCGAGAGACCATCTATACGTGTCGGTGTTCGATCGAGGAATGTTTCCAAAGGAAACAAAGATATAAAGGAAATATATATATTGTGTGTGTGTATATATACAGAATTCTCCTTCGAGAAGACGAGAAACATAATAATTTTAATATTGTTCGTTTCCTTTAACGTTTACATATATACGTTTCGTAAATAAATATAACTCGAATAAGTATAACTTAGGATTTAAAAATACGTGCACGTCGTAATTACGATAGTGATAAAAATATTAATTTTAAAAAGTAAAGATAAAAAACTAAAATATCCGAATACTTGAAATTTCTCTCCTTATTAATTTCAAAGATCCAATAACATTCTACGTACACTAAAAATTCTCCAATAACCGCGTATCTATTCATAAAGAAAAGAGGCATGCCTCCTATATACACGTAAATAAAAAAAAAGAACACGTTCACTACACAAAACAAAAATTGAAATTACTAAAAATAATCTGATAATTCTCTCGAAACTTTATAGATTCTACGTATGTGTGTGTACGTATATACACGTGAGAGGTGAACTAAGTAGGTGTTTCTAATATGAAAAACTTTCCCTCTGTGGT